CGTCTGCAGACCAATTACTTCCCAGTTCTGTTCAGTCGTGGTAAGTTATTTAATCTTGTGCTAGCGCGAGAGGAGGTCCCCACTTATCTTACTCTTACTAAATTTCACGGCTATCATCCATTTCTCACAGTACATGATAGATGTCTCTCTTTATAAATGGGAAGGAACAGAGGTTTATGGTTTGGTATTGGTTCTCGCCTAATAAAGTATTTCTCGGCATTTCTTTAAAATAGAAAGTGAGGTCTCAAGCAAATAAAGGACCTGTATTTGCTCTTTCTCCACTAAAAAAATCAGTTATGAATTGATGAAATAGTGAGGTACTAACCTAGGAATAGTCTTTTTTCCGCATATAGAACTACAGTTATGTTTATACCGTAATAAAAGCTAAGCGAAATATACATTTACAAGGTAGACGTTGCTGTACGGTCGTGATAAGGAAGTTGTAGTTTAGAAATATTTTATAGAACATAAAAAGCGTGAATAGTTGAGTGCACAGTGTAAGATAAAGACAACAATTATTACAAGCCATTTTTTCTAAGCTGATTTTTTAAAATTTTTTACTGGGAATTGGTACACTGGGGTAAGTTGATATGCTGATGGTATACACTTATTAGTTTTATTGATCTGGTGTTTTTCATAACTTTTGCCTTAAAGCTCTAGAAATTTGCGCGCGTTGGAGTAAGTTGATGCGCTGATTGGGGACATGATAACCAAACAAAGATTTATCAGTTTCTCACTCTCCTTAATCTCAATTACTAAGAATTGGTGTACTTTGGTAAGCTGATATCACTAGTTACGAAATCGTATCGAATGATTTGGTTAATTCTTCAATTTTTCGCATTTGCGCACTGGACTGCTGAAAACTGGCGAACAACAGTTTGTTCACGTAGGTAGTGATTATGAATATAACTTTCTCTTAAAACAATTTGCTTCTATTGATTTAGTTCTCTCCATTCCACTTTTCTCGCATTTATCCCGATTACACACGGTCTGCTATTTGAGTCAAACCCTTCTACGCTATTCTGCCCAAGGCACAGCTCGCTTAATTTATTTGCTTCAAGACTTCTCGGGACCGATCTGACCTTGTCCATACATCTCAATTTCGGTGTTTCTCGTGGTCGCTTACTTAGCACTTCCATCCATTTATGTGGTTTTTTCTCTCCTACTCATGTACACTGTGCAAATACTCAAAAGCGCAAACGCCTCTCCTGCATCTTCTGGATGAATAGAGCTAACTTCATTTGTGATCTAATCATGTCTTTACAGTTGTGAATACCTTCATTCCTTGGCCGGATCATCACCGACGCATGTGATTCCGGGATTTTGATCTCCTCTCTGCATATATTCGGTCTCCTTCATGTTGAGCTTCAAACCATGTGGCTC